TTTAGTATTAATTTGATTTTTTAAGATGTATTTTAAAATATTTTTAAATAAAAATATTTTAAATGCATCTTGAACTTTTAAAATGCAGTGAGGCAGATAAATAAGCCTACTGAATATTTCATCGGTGGTGCTCACCAAAAAATTATGCCCTCATGTTTATGTAACTCTGTAAAATAATAGATGGCTTGAAGATTGATGCTTTTGTTCTTTGACCATATAATTCTACCTTTTGGCCAAATGCGTTGCTACATGCAAAAATGTATAATGGTATCATAACAGTTTTGCTTTTATTTTTTTTTAGAATGGAAAAATAGTTATGAAAGGACAAAGGTATGGAAATGGTTCTTGCTCTTCCATAAGCCCTCCTACACTCTTAAAAAAAAACTCATAAGGAATCTTGCTCAATTTGGTTTCTATGTTGACCTTAAATGCTTAACTCATTTTTAAAGGATACGTGCTGAAGACAATTAGCATATACAAACTTTGAAGATTGTGACTACAATATGCAGTTATTTATTTTAGCTAAAATCGCATGGGTTGTCTTTCCTAATACCTTGCTCCATATTGAGTTTCATATTTTTTTCTAATAAAAACCTGTTTTATTAGATCTTAGTATTGGTCTTCAATTTGGTCTTAGTAACATTTTTTTAAAAAAAAGACAGTATTCTAACAGTAATAGAAACACTTTATGCAACACATTTATTATTTATCTTTGAAAACTCTAGGGTAACTCAGCAGTGTACATGATCAAAACAAAATAGACAAACTCAGCAATTTTGTTATATATCAGAAAGCAACATGCAAGAAACTTTGCAGCAAAGATGATCTGTAAATAGGAGTAATAAATAAAAGGAATAAGAAAATATTTTTATGTTTTGCACAAAAGGCAGACAGGTGATTGAGGTCCACAGAGGCCAGAAGGGTTTTTGAAAATGATGCTACTAGGTTTGCAAAACTAAAGAGCAGTTTACTGATAATGAGATACTTGCATTTTTTTTTAAAAAAAAGTAAGCCACCTTTTTTAAAAAAGTGTGGTTGAACGTTCTTCAAATATTTGTGATGTTTCTGTTTAACAACTGCTGCATTCCATTGCCTCCATTCAGTAATCCCACTCTAGGGAATGTTGCTTATTAAAGTTAATTTGAGCTTTTCCAACAGATTAACAAGGAACAGGATCTGAAGTGTGAGTCTATTTATTTCTCTATGAGCGTTAAGTAGGAGATCAGGCTTGAACGGTTTTTTTGTAGTTGACCTTTCTGAAATAATGTTGAAAAATCCTATGTACTGATTTAGAATTAAGCTTGAGTGGATTTTTCTACTCTTGGAGAAATATATTTTTTGGTGGGTATCTACTTTACTAGCATGCCAGTAGAGGAGAAGAAATGTTGTTTTGCAGAGTTGTTGTTGGCGTGCTCAGTGAAGGGCTTGGAAGCCCCACAGAGTGGCAATTTCTTCTTCTTTGCCTTTAAATAATCCCCATGTTTTATTGTTAAAATATTGAGGTACAAAGAAAGTAGGAAAAAGCAAGATAAAGCAAAAAAACAAAAAACCCTACTACATTTATATTTTTAAAAGCATAAAAAAGAGAAAATAAATTGCATTCTAGGGATCTGTCCTCCCTTTCATTTGTATTCCCAACCACTAGCCACAGTTTAAACATTTAAACTTTGCATCAAACAGTAATTGTTGTTGGTTTCTATTTAAATCCTAAAGACCATATTCCAGATGTCTAAATCTGCCCTGCTCTATGATAATTGTATACAATGGCAGCCCTTCCTGCTTGAATTTGGTTAAACTTCTAGAATATGTACTTTCAGTTTTGCCACCGCAGCACATTCTCCAGTTTCAGCTTCCCGATCTTATATGGTGGGCCACGTATCTCTTTTCCGATCAAAGTGGCATTATCAGGGAGGAAATGTAACCTGTGAGTTGAACATCCCTGAATTAAGGCTAAAATCTCCCAGCACTAACTTGAGCGTAAGCATCATTAAACTCATGTGGAATTTGCTTTTGCAAATTTCCAAAATGATTGGCCAATGCTGAATCTTGCAACTCTCCCATTGGTTTAGCTGCACGCATAAAAGTAAGCAATCCCAAGATAAGAAAAACTAATATTTGTGGGAGAATATAGAGTTGTATAGGTTACAGTTCTTATGCTTGGAAAGAGAGAGATGCATATAAAACATGTATATATAAATCTGAACTACATTTGCAAACCAAATTGGACCTTGCAGCAAAATAACATCCTATGGAATGCTTCTGTTCAGGATTCTTGTCAATCAGCCGTGCCCTTTTTTTAAGGAGACTCCATTTCGTATCCTTTTTTTAAAAACCCTACCATTCGTACACAACTGTTAATCAGCATTATGTGGCTATGGAGCACCTACCATCTTCACTGGGTGTTGGTGATGGTGATTTGGGACTTCCTTTCTGTTGATTCCTCTTACCCCAGGTTGTTTTTATACTTCTGGAAAAATGGGGACTTCCTCAGCTTTATCCTTCTCTTTTGTGAAATGTAATGTTTTACATTACAAAATGACAAGTACATAGATTTGCTGTTGTATATAATATCATTAGCATTCTGGAGCCTTACCAAATACTGAATTAGATGTACTCTCCACCAGAACGCCATAAGAACCACTTAGATGGGCGTAATTGGTGAAATGAAATGAATGAAACCATACTGTTAAGACTTGCTGGGACAAGGCATTCTGTTTTAACTTTTTATTTATTTATCGAAGTATAAAATATAAAGTAAAAAAACATGGAAAAGTAAGAAGAGAGGAAAGGAAAAAGAGGGGATATAGTGTAACAGGAGGAAAAAAATAAAATGGTTCCAACTTCCGACTCTCTTTGGCTTGTACGTACTGTTGGGTAAAAGCAAAAAAATTGTAGTTGTAACCTTGTTACCTTCGACTGTGCCAAAGGGACAAGGCACTGTGGATGTTGCCAGTAGGCAGACTGAGATCAAGGTCCTTTCTGAAAACAAAGGGAGAAAGGTGTGTGTGTGTTTGCCTTTGCATGTGCTCATATAGCTAGTTTATTCTGCTTAAATGGTTTTCTCTGCACATCAGATATTGAGCTCCGAGTTCAGTTATCAGGCAAATTGCTGAGTGTTCAATTAGTGTTTGTTGGTCCCAACTAGTGTTTGTTAAGTGGGGACATGTTTTATTTTTTAAGTACTTATTTAATAATATTTATAACTCACCCAAATCGTGATGGATTTCAGGTTGAGTAAAGGAGAATATTTGTTCTCAGGATTGAAATGAAGGATCCTTGTTGCTCTCTCTGAGCTTGGTTGTTTTCTTGAAGACATTTTGTTAACCCAACTAGGTAACGTCATCAGTGCTAGTAGTACTAGGATTCTGGGTTGGCTACAACAAAGACAAAAAGCTCTAAGAAACTAAATATAATACCATCCCAGCCATTGATAATATATCAGGTGCTTTTAAAACTAAACTTATTTAATTTAAGGGCCAAGCATGCAGTAAAATAAAACTATTTTATTGTTTTTGCGGAATGTCGACTTTGAGAAGCAAGCAGATCATTTGTGTGTGTCCCTCCCCTTCTAAAAGGCTGACTTTCATCTTGTGAGGGAAATCCATGATACCAAGTTGTCCAGATGGAAAATTACCTTGACTTCAAAGGGCGAGGCAGGAAGACAACATATTCAGGCAACATATTCCCAGAGTTTTACATTCGTGACTCTGAGAATATGTTGCTTGGATGCACATCTTCCTGCCTCTGTGTTTGAAGTCAAAGCAATTTTCCATACAGATAACCTTTAATTCTCAGTATTGCCAAAACATGCCCATTTCTGGTGACTACCCTCAAATGCTCTTTAACCACCATTTTGTATGGATGGGGAAAATGTTTAAATTCGTGTGTGTGTGTGTGTGTGTGTGTGTGTGTGTGTGTATGTGTGATATTAGAAAACCAAGATAAATTCCAAAGTCCTGTCATTCATGAATGTTAGGGTTCTCACAGAATGAGGAAATACAAAAACGAAGGGTCTGGTGATGTTGGGATATGTGTTTATTTGAAAAAAAACAACAGATGCTGGTATGTTATGAAAAAAAAAACATAATTAAAGCCCTGTATGTTCTGCTTGTTTAATCCTATGGATGTTCTAGAAATGAGAAATATGAAACAAACAGGAACTTACAATCATTTCTATTGTTCATATAATCTGGTTTAAGGGGCTTAGTAGTTCAGCCAGCAATCAGCTGCAAAAGAACCAGAACATAGAGAAAAACAGGGTAATAAGAAGGCGCTCGAGCATAACCAACGTCAAGATTTAGGAGATCATAGTGACAGGAGCAGAGCCAGGAAAAGAAAGTCCAAGAAAGTCCACGAATATCAGTCTGCTACCTAAGTGAGCTTCAGAAACTGTTTCCATGAATGGGGGATGTTTGTAGACCGAACTTCACACTCCAAGGGCTAAGGCAAGGAAGGTATAAGATGGGACTTAGTAGATCCTCTACCACCAACATGCATATGACCAACATGGATCTTACTTTTTACCATTCATGAGCATATATGCAACCTATTATCCATACTTAGTCCTATATACAGGCATACACTCAAACTTATATCAGTCAGAATAGAGGTGGAAGGGACCTTAGAGGTCTTATAGTTCAATGCCGTGTTCAAGGAGGGAACTCTATATACCATTTCAGGCAAGTGTCTAATCAATCTTTTCTTAAAATCCTTCAGTGATGAAGCATCCACAATGTCTGAAGGCAAGCTGTTCCACTGGTTAATTGTCCTCATTGTTAGAAAGTTTCTCCTTAATTCCAGGTTGCTTCTTTCCTTGATTAGTTTCCATCCATCTATGATAAGTTTCCATCCAGGTTTTACTGCCAAATTTCCTTTGGCACAGTCATGTATTAAGATTCAAATGCAAATGTCTGCCATCCATCAATAAACATACTTGCTTGGAGTCATCAGATTTCACCTAAGCCTTGTTTCTGTTCTCTTCTTCTTCATTTTATCATCAGCCATTATGACCAGACAAAAGGATGTAGAAAGTCCAAACACTGAAGCAAAGATTTCCACTTCCTATATACAAAGTCTAGATGCAACCAGTACATCTGGAAATAATAAAGTAAGGACGTTGTGGACCAATTTAGCTTCAGCATCTGTAGCTGCAACAGGAAGTACCACATCTTATGCCAAAATAATCAGATCTGTGAATGTGACATCACAGTTATCTCAAATAATACAAACCAAGCAAGCAAGTGCCTCACGAAATATGGCGGGTATTGCCGAAAATGAATCAGTGACTTCGAGGAAGCATTTTCCCAAGACAGCAAATTCTCCATTTTTGGAGGAAAAACATTCAGGTGAGTTGGGGGAAAGACACTGAAACAATATAATGTATTGCATGATTAGGCAACCATTAGTTTTGAAAATGTGTTTGTGGATATTTTCATAATATGGATACGATAACTGAACACACTTTTCAAAAATAAAATGGCTAATTATTAAGCATAGCACAACATTATTTATTTATTTATTTGTATGCTATGATGCCAGAAGGTACATGGTACCGAAGTACACCCCCCCCCAAATAAAGATCCACCCACAAAATAAATCAAATATAAAATATCAATCAATCAAAAACGTGTGTACCAAATTCAAATATCCAGTTACAGCATACCTCCTTGAATTTAACATAAGAATAAGAACTTAAATGTTCTCCTGCCCAAATGGGAAGAAACAGACGAGATCTCCATTCTTGTACCCTTTATGTTTAGAATCTTATACTCTAGTCCAGAGGTCACCAAACTTGGCAACTTTTAAGACTTGCAGACTTCAACTCCCAGAATTCTTCAGCCAGCCATCAGTTCTGGAAACTGAAGTCCATAAATTTTAAAGTTGTCAAGGTTGGATACCCCTGCTCTAGGTATACGCATGGGTAAAAATATAGAGGCTTCATTTCTGAGTGGAGACATGATAGTGAAGAGCAGATTAATGCATGTTTTAATGAGAAAAATATTGGAATAAAAATAGTCTGTTTTCTCCTCATCCCCTCAACTTACCCAGGATTAAAGTTTATTAATGTTTTACTGTTTAATGCTTTGCATTAAAAAACACAAGTAAAATAGAAAAGCTTGCTGTATGCTGTTACTGTACTACTACTGTTATTATATTTACATTTAAAAAATTTTATTTCCTCAGTATAACTGTCTTTTATAACAGATTTCAATGCATTGTTCATTTCAAAAATTATTATTTATTTGTTTAAATTTACTGGCAATCAAATTCCAGTGGACTCTGGATGGCACTCAAAAGTAAAAAAAAGTTCTTTGTTAGCCACTCAGAGTAATTGATAAGTGGCCAGCTCTCGAAATTTAAAGCATAAACCAGTGAAGAAGGACATAATGAAACAGCCCTGTTTCTTATTTTAGCCATTGGGAGCAACTACCATACAGCTAATACCTGGGTTGAAGACAGCACAATGTCCGGTTTCCATATACCAGACATGGGCAGTTCAGCAACACTCAGTCAGAGTTCAGAAAGGACTTCCCGCTTTCTTAGAGAGAACTTCGGTGGAAAAGGGCCAGCTACTCAAAAAGAACTTGCTACATCTTCTGGTCAAATCCAACGGTCATCTCATGTAACATTTCCAATACCCCAGAATAGGAGATCAAATGCCAAACAGCCGGATTCTTTAACAAGGATTGTGCTTACTTGGCCTTATACTTCTCCACGAACCAGTATGTATCCTTCTATATTTTCTATTCCTTACTGTCAGAAAAAGCAGGGGATACAGCAGGGTGGGGAAACTTTGGGTGGCCTTGAGTTTGCATTTTATATTTCATGGCAATCTTGGATTGCAAGAATAGCAATATGGATGCAAATGGATGGAGGTGCGACACCTATTTTGGAGCAAGAGTTTACATTCCTGCTCCCCCTTTTTCTTAAACTGTTTTTCTGGAATTCATATAAAGGTTCCTTTGGGTTATCTGCCTTAAAACAATGGTAGACTACCACCTATAATTGACAGCATAGTTTAAAAAAGACTACAAAGAATAGGGCTGGGTACTTGTCAAAATTCTGCTCTAGAACATAGCTCCAATTTGGTACAGATAGTGCTCGAGTTATGACCAACATTGAGCCCAAAATATCTGTGGTTATGGGAGATATTTGTTAAATGAGTTTTGCCCCATTTTACGACCTTTCTTCGCAACAGTTGTTAGGTGAATCATTGCAGTTGATCAGTTAGTAACCTGGTTGTTAAGTGAATCTGGCTTCCCCATTGATTTTGTTTCTCAGAAGGTTGCAAAAAGGGGGTCACATAACCCTGGGACACAGCAACGGTCATAAGTGTGAACCAGTTGCCAAACATCTGAATGTTGATCACATGATCATGGTGGTCGTGTATAAAGGTCATGATAGTGAAAAATAGTAATAACTCACTTTTTTCAATGCCACTGTAAATTTGAAGGATCACTAAATGGACTGTTGTAAGTCAAGGACTATCTGTAATGGTTTGGATGAAAGTGAGAGGGTGACATTAAATCTGGATCATTATGTCACATTAAGTCAAATGTGTTGTTGTTCAGTAGGCAATCAGAGATTCAGAATGTGCTAGTTTGGTCTGCATTTCCTCTTTAAGAGTAAACCCACAGTCTAAAATGCTGCTTAATCCTGCATGTTGCAGATTTCCAAACTGCAATTGGTGGTGTGAAACATTTTTCACTGTTGCCTTTACTGTGCCAGTTGCCATCAATCCTGGGTTGGTCAACTATGGTCATACTTACCCATATCTGTTCGGGATCAAAATTAATTTCTACAATCTTCTTGATGCAGACCTATTTCTTTTAAGACAGTCCTCCTGAACTTCAGTTGATATAAAATGGACAGGGTAGGACGGAATATAAAATGAGTAAACTAAACCGGGGAAAATCTATAATTATCAGGTAAAAAAACCCCAATCTTTGTCTCAATAATCGCTGGAAAATATTAATACTTTCTCAATCTAGATGTCAAAATGAAATACATTTAAAGTGCAGAACTGTTTGTCTTTTTTCATATGTAGATAGGCTCCTGTTTTGCCTTTCGTTTTGTTGATTTAGGGTGTAAGGCCCTAGGCCTGGAAACCTTCACTGGGAATAATAACAATAACAACAACAATAATAATAACAATAACATTTAATATATATACACCTCAGATCTGCCCCCTTTCTGTAGCTCTCCTTGCCGTATCTTATTCTTTTCAAAATGGAGCATGAAATTATCAGGAATAAGTCTGCCAAGTAGCGCAATTTGGCAAGCATCGTATCTTTTTAAATTGGTATTTCTACAGCTGATCTTTTCTATGGAAGATTGCTTTTTCTTTTATTTGTTTTCCCCAGTTTGTGTGAGAGAAATACTGTCAGGACTCAAAGAGGCCTTCAACGAAGCATTTTGAAGGTTTTTCTGCTTGCAGTTACTCCACACAGTTGTCAAATAATTCAAATCCACCTCTCTCACATTTTTAGAGTTGTAGCTTGGCAACCTGTAAAAGTCTGAGTGCACAGCTTGCTGAGAAATAGATTATTTTGACATACATGAAATCCACAAACAAGCAAATAATTTCTGCTGGAGTATTGCCTCCCATTAAATGAGATCATTAAGACCATGCAGAACATATTAGTCTTGCACTGACTGGACTTTATAGCTTAAAATGGATCAGGTTATAATAACAATGCCAGCTTTGTTCACCCCATGAGAATGTTTTTGCCAGCACTGCTTGGCACAAATCTGACATGTGGGGCAGAGCTAACCTGAAGGTGTGTTGCTCTGGGTTTATTAATTTCTACTGGCTTTCTTTATGTTGATTTCTTGAATATTTCAATTTCTGCATTTAAAAAGGAGAAAAGCGAGTAATATAAACAGTCGTACTGGAGTATTCAACATGGTGCCCCCTCCCCGCCAACACTAGAACGCTGGCTGGATGTCTGCAGCCTTCATGAAACAAAATATTAAACACATTGATACCTTTATAGAGAGATCATTGAAATCATTTGAGATTTGGAGATTTGGGTTGGGCATTTGTGTCATTGAGTGATCACATGGAATCGTTCCAGATAAGCTAACTGAGCATTATCCTAACATGTAGAAAGAAAAACCACTATGATTTTATTCTTAGGGTGATGTCACATATCACACTGAGTCGTAACAAACATGATGTGTGAAGCAGATTGTGGATCTTATTCTGCCTGATATCCTGATTTTAGCTTAATTTATGTGTGCTTTGTACTCAACTCATTAATTATGTTAAACTTTAATTCAACATGCAGAGATTTAGTCAGAAGTTAATCTCACTTCTGTTTGATATATCATTGTGTTGAAGTAGAGCAATAAGAATTTTCTAACATTAATTACAACATGGACAAGGGACAATGTGTTTGGGTCTTCCTGTCATTCTCTCTGCATTCTTATGCCACTACATTTGGGATATTTCACAGTAATGTTTTACTTGCACCTGTTTCAAGGTTAAAGTTTTTTATTAACACTCTGAATCATTGCTTTTTTCCCAGATGTTTCAAATTTTTGTCAGATTAGAAGCATGAGAAATTAACCAGCCTTCTATTATATTTGCAGAAATATAATTACTATATGAATACACTTTGAGAGATCCTGTCCAATATGTAGCTTGCATGTCTAATTTCTTTTTCTATGTTTCATTTATGAAAGATACTCATCAGTTAAACAGAAACTCCAACACAGAGAAAAGAATTTCTAGTCCTGATATGGATTATATGAAAATCCTGAACATATCCAACAGAAGTGAGGAGAAGATATTTCAAACTATAAGAGACTTCAGCAGTTCTCAAGGTCCACATTCCACA